AGGAGGCTGAGGCAAGAGAATCGCCTAAGCCCAGGAGTTGGAGGTTTCTGTGAGCTGTGTGACGCCACAGCACTCTACCGAGAGCGATAAAGTGAGACTCTGTCTCTACAAAAAAGACTGAGAAAAGATAAGAGTGCTTCTAGTGGTTGAGCCCAGCTGTTTTATGGAGAAACAAATGATTTCTAGTTGCTCTAGGAAGCTAATAAATTAGAATAATGAATCAGAATTATTGAAAGACATTTTCTACTCAATGTAAGTCCAAACTTTCTAGTAATTTGGCTTAGCAGTGTAATCAGCTGCCATATTAGTGAGTTCCTTCTTATGTGAGTGTGCAAATATATGCAGGATGACTTATCTAGAATATTGTAGAAGAGAATTACACATCAAGTGGAAAAGTATAACTTAAGGTCCCCTTCCATTCTGACAGTTCTTTGATTTTTATATTGCATAAGAGTAATGGTATTGCTTTTTGTGTACTTTTTACTTGGTACAGTTTTCATTTTAGCAAATTACAGCGTTGGTATTATTAAGGCTTAGAAAATGTGCTTGCCATCTCTGAGGTATTAAACCTTTCTCTCTCATGTTAATTTTTTTAGCTAGCCTCCAAGCTCGGCAAGCAGTGGACCCCATTAATAATCCTGGCCAACTCTCGTAGTGGAACTAATATGGGAGAAGGGCTGTTGGGAGAATTTAGGATCTTACTGAATCCAGTCCAGGTAACTAAAAAGAAAACCTTCCCTTCTTTATTAAATTTTTTCATTTTTAGCTTTTTATTTTCCCCAAATGCTATGGTTTTTAAGGCTCTAAATCACTAATCATCTGATTATAGGAAATAATAGTAATTAGAGAAAGATCAAGACATTCAAATACGTGGACTCACAGGAACCCTCGGGGTGGGAATATAAAATGGTGCCACCACTTTACAAAAGTTGGGCAGTTTCTTAAAAACTTAAACCTGAATTTATTGTATCTTCTAGCAGTCCTACCATTAGGAGTCTGCCCAGGAGAAGTAAAAACATATGTCTCACAAAGACTTGAATATAAATGTTCATAGCAGCATTATTCTTAAGAGTCAAAAAGTGGAAACAACCCAGCCACAAAATGTGTTGTGCCCAGACAGTGCAGCACCATTCATTGACAAAAAGGAACAAGCTGCCCATACATACATATTACAATAAATGTACCTCACAATGTACCTTCACTTGCTAAGTGAAAGAAACAAGACACAAGGGACCATATATTGCATGATTCCATTTATGTGACCTGTCCAGAAACAGCAAATCTATAGAGACAGAGAATGGAATAGTGGATTCCTGAGGCTAGAGCTGGGAGTGGTGAGTGGCTGCAAATGGGCATTGAGGGATCTTACCAAAGGAACAAAAATGTTCTAAACTGGATTGTGGGAGTGGTTGCACAGCTTAGTAAACTTACTAAAAATTATTGACTTGTTCCTTTACATGGGTGAATTTTATGATATGTAAATTATACTCAATTTTTAAAATAAGGAAAGTTGCTAGTCATGAGCATATACAGGAGTAACGTCTACTTGGAAAAACTAACCCCATTGTGCCACAATCCGAAATGCAATAACTTTTTTCCTTTCTATATGTATTTCTTACACTTTTAATATAACACAGCTTAAGGAAATTATAAAAATAATAAAAAAGAGGGCAGCGCCTATGGCTCAGTGGGTAGGGCACCAGCCCCATATACCAAGGGTAGTGGGTTCAAACCTGGCCCCAGCCAAACTGCAACAAAAAAATAGCCAGGTGTTATGGCAGGTGCCTGTAGTCCCCGCTACTTGGGAGGCTGAGGCAAGAGAATCGCCTAAGCCCAGGAGCTGGAGGTTACTGTGAGCTGTGTGACACCATGGCACTCTACCAAGGGCAATAAAGTGAGACTCTGTCTCTACCAAAAATAATAATAATAATAACAATTTCCTCACATTGGTTTTCATTTGTATTTTAAATTTGTTTCCTTTAATTATCTTTGTGGTTACATATTAATGCTGTAACAATTATCTAGATACAAATTTATATTTTGGGGGGTTTTTTGTTTGTTTTGTTTGTTTGTTTGTTTTTACTTAATGGTGTAAATATTTTTTCCTATTGCAACACAGTCCTCATAATTATATATTTAATGGCTAAAAGGATTGAGTGGATGATCATTGTTCATTTATCTAGTCTCCTATTGGAAATTGATACTGTCTCCAAGATTGTACTATTAGAAATAATGCCACAGTGAATATCTTTATCCATAGGGTATTTCCGTCTTTTGAAATATTTTTCTAGGATTATTTATGGAATTATGAGTATCAAAGGTCCTTCCATTTTTATGTCAATTTATATATTGCTAAATTGTTTTCTAAAATTTGTATTAATTTAGTCATTTTTTGTTTGAAAATCAATGTAAAATGTGAAATACTAGTTAAAGGTGAACTTAGCATGGTGAACAGGAAGTTGGCCATGTGATATAATGGTTAAACTATATGTTTGAAATTATATTTCAGCACTTAATTATCTGGCGAATCACAGGCAAGTGACTTACCCATCCTGCACCGTAGTTTCCCGATCAACACAATGAAAGACTAACTTCTGCTTTGTAGGCTAAGTGCAGGGATGAGCCACAGTGAATATAGAGTCTGCCGCAGTGCCTGGCATATTGCTAAAGATAGATACATAGTAGCCAGAATTGTTAATTAGCCTCATCTCTACTCATCCAGAGGGAAGTCATTCTCACAGATGAAGGACAGTATTCCATAAGAATAATTTTTTCTTTGTCTTTTAGGTTTTTGATGTAACTAAAACTCCTCCTATCAAAGCCCTCCAACTTTGTACTCTTCTTCCCTATTATTCAGCTCGAGTGCTTGTTTGTGGAGGGGATGGGACTGTGGGCTGGGTCCTGGACGCAGTTGATGAAATGAAGATTAAGGTATTAGTCTTTAAGACCTACCATAGAAGTACTTCTAAGATAAATATACAGTATTGTTGGTTTATATTTATTATGTAAATGAATATTAGAAAATATTGCTGGCTCGGCGCCTGTGGCTCGAGCGGCTAAGCCGCCAGCCACGTACACCTAAGGTGGCGGGTTCGAATCCCCAGCCCAGGCCCGCCAAACAACAATGATGGCTGCAACCAAAAAATGGCCGGGCGTTGTGGCGGGCGCCTGTGGTCCCAGCTACTTGGGAGGCTGAGGCAGGAGACTCGCTTGAGCCCAGGAGTTGGAGGTTGCTGTGAGCGTGATGCCACGGCACTCTACCCAGGGGGATAGCTTGAGGCTCCGTCTCAAAAAAAAAAAAAAAAAAAGAAAATATTGCCAATTTCAAATAGCTAAGAAGGAGATGTTATGATTAAGCAATTAGCACAACCTTTAAAACAACATATAATTGTTATATTTGTATCTTTATTGCTTTGGTCCTTAAACTTTATAAAATATTGTTACTCTACAAATAATCTGAAGAAAATATATCTTCCATATTGTAGGGACAAGAAAAGTACATTCCACAAGTTGCAGTCTTGCCTCTGGGAACAGGCAATGATCTGTCCAATACATTGGGTTGGGGCACAGGTTATGCTGGAGAAATCCCAGTCACACAGGTCTTAAGAAATGTAATGGAAGCAGATGGCATTAAATTAGATCGGTAAGTTACCTTTCCCCAAAGAGTTGTTTTTGGCATTTGGCGATATTACTTGGTTTGTAAATGAAGTCTTACACAGCTATAGAGTGAAATGTAATTTAAATGTACCTGACTGTATTGTGCTTAGATGTAGATGTTGGTGTTTCCTTTAGTTCAGCAGTTCTCAACCTGTGGGTCTTCCATATCAGATATTTACATTATGATTCATAACAGTAGCAAAATTACAGTTATGAAGTAGCAACAAAAATAATTTTATGGTTGGGGGTCACCAAAACATGAGGAACTATATTAAAGGGTCGCAGCATTAGAAAGGTTGAGAACCGCTGTTTTAGTTGCTATATAGAACTAGAGTCCGTAAGTTATGCTGAGTAGTTATCCCTAAGTTTGCATGCTCCCTTAGATGTGTTTACTTTTTCAAATGTCCTTTTAATAGAAGAACCTCATTTATCCAAACATCCAAATTGTGGGGGGGTTTTGGTTAAAAGTATTGGTTTGTTGTGTTTTTGTTTCAACTTCTGTTTTTTAGATGGAAAGTTCAAATAACAAATAAAGGATACTACAACTTAAGAAAACCCAAGGTATGTTTTTGGTGCTTCTGTTGCAAATACATTCATCAAACGTGCATGGGGGCTCGGTGCCTGTGGCTCAAGTGGCTAAGGCGCCAGCCACATACACCTGAGCTGGCGGGTTCAAATCCAGCCCAGGCCCACCAAACAACAATGACGGCTGCAAGCAAAAAATAGCTGGGCATTTTTGTGGTGGGCGCCTGTAGTCCCAGCTACTTGGGAGGCCTAGGCAGGAGAATTGCTTGAGCCCAGGAGCTCGTGGTTGCTGTGAGCTGTGATACCACAGCACTTTACACAGGGCAACAGCTTGAGGCTCTGTCTCAAAAAAAAAAAAAAA